CCTTTATGTTGCTGCTACCTAAATCTTCTTTGCAATTTTTTATCAGCTGGTTTTGGCAGCTGATAAAAAAATCCAAAGTACTTTCCAATGCACTCACACGAAGCCATTTATGTTGTTTAGGCTTGCCCCAAGGAGGTGTTTACACCACCAAAATGGTTTCCTCATGAGTATCCCATGGAAAAAAAGATATCTGCAAGAAATGCAGTTTGTATGCTGTTGACTCTATTTCCGATTTGAACAAGACACTGATAATCCCAGTGGTGTCCTGGTCTTTAACGATGCCATGGATTAGAGACTGAGACTTTTAAGGCATCATTCTCTTCCAAGGAGCCACTCTGCAGGCTGTGGTGGCTGCTTTAGCAGTGTGTCAATCCCTTAAGGCAGGTGTCCTCAAACATTTTAAACAGGGGGCTAGTTCACGGACCTTCACACTGTTGGGGGACCGGACTATAGTTGAAAAAAAAAAAAAAAAACACTGAACAAATTTACTATGCACACCACACATCTTCTTTGTAGTGCAAAAAAAACAGGAAAAACAATACAATATTTAAAATGCACTGTACACTGTAACGCACTTGACACCAAATGCACTGTATTCTAACGCACTGGGCACCGCAATGCACTGACTTCAAAATGCACTGTGCCTGGTGTACTCTCCTCCTCTCCTGTTGCTCTTCTGGCTGCAGCAGGTGAAATCAGGGACTTCCAGACTGCCGTTCTCTTGGTCCTCACAGCCTAGCTATTTGCCAGTCTTTTTTTTTTTTTTTTTTTTTTTTTTTCCCCTCGCCCTGCAGGCCAGATAAATGGCTTTGGCTGGCTGTATACAGCCCGTGGGCTGTACTTTGAGCACCCCTGCCTTAAGGCCTGGGCAGCACAGAATCTCTCTTCCAAAGAATCTGATCCAGAAGATCCTGCCATTTGGCAGTTACTGAGAGATTTTTCAAGAAGTCTGAGCTTCTAGTTAGATGCCGTGGAAGTTTCAAAAAGGCTGCTTTCACCAGTGGGCACTTTGTCAATGTGGGACGGATCTCTATGGCTTAAAAGTTAACCACTTTCAAGGAAGAAAAATAGCATCTGCAATTGAAAAGGAAAGTTAGTTTTTATCAAAAATAAAATTACATTATGACAAACTGCAGCCACTGTAATTTTCCATAAAGTCAATGCAGTATGGCTCCTGGAAGTATTTTGTACACAGTTGGTGTATAGAAGCCCCCCAGAAATGTAATCTTAGTGCAGAGTCCTTCATACAAGCAGGAAATTACAAGTCAAGTTTTAGGCATCCTCTGCAACAAAAATTTTATTTTTGGTGAGATACTCCCTAAAGGTTAATCATATATTAAAGGATGTGGACTTTGGGCCTTTGCCTGTAGAGGAGAGTCTCAAGGATTTTACTCTAGCCTCTTTCATGGTTCCCAAAAACAGATGTCTGGCTTATCTTGGATGTTAAGGGTCTCAAGTTTCTGAAAATCCAGAATTTCAGGATGGAGTTGATTGCTTTGCTTCATCATGGGGACTTCTGACTTCAGTTGGCACCAAGGATGCATGCCTACACATTCCAGTTTTACAGCTTCACCAAGCATTTTGCCCTTTTGCAAAGGGGATCACCACTACCAGTTTGCAGGCATTAATCTGTCAACCTGTCTACAGCTGCAGGGTCTTACCCAAAGTGCTAGGTTCTGTTCTGGTGTTGAGAACCTGAAAGAATTCCCATTGCGCGTTACCTGGAGGACTTGCTTCTATGAAAGCACTTTATCAAATACTGACGCATAATTACCAGATGATAATATAAGCTTAATTTTAGGACGTTGGCCTTGGTTTCGGCTCAATGCCTGGAATATTTGGGTTTAATTCTAGATGCATCTCAGGCAAGGATACTACTTTTATGGGATAAGTACCTCTCTCCTTGAGCCCAGGTGGAGTCTCTTTAGGATGTTGGAAGATCCCACAGGGATGCCTGAGAATGCGGAGGAAGATGGTGGTCCCTTTTTGAGGAGGTCCCCTATGCAGTTTCACTCCAGAGCTCTGCAGCTCAATATTCTGACCGTTTTGGACAATTGTCTCCATCCGAGACCTCCACTTCTCAGTCACTGGCTGTAATGGTTAGCCTGTTGAAACCTAAGTCCGAAAGGAAAGGTTAATCTGATCACCTTACTCGGAGTAAGAAAATATCGCGCAAAAGTTACCTTTGGACGTGGAAGGCTTTCTTTGCATGGCGTGGGGACAGACTTAACTTTAGGGATTACTCCTATAGCTTGTGTTTTGGCCTTTCTTCAGTCAGGCCCTGAACGGACAGGCTTCTGCCTTATACATCCTTTTCCAGAAACCTCTTGCATTTCAAACCCTGTTCAAGCCTTTTTTCAGGCAGTTACTCATATAATTCCCCTCTTTGATCTCCTGTACCACCTTGGGATCTCAATCTGGTGCTCTTCTTTTCAGAGACCCCCTATTTTGAATAGCTTCCTTTTGGAATACCTCCCATTTTAAGATTGCCTTCTTTGTTGCCATCTCTTCTGTTACGTTTGTTTCTACCAAAAGGAGTATGTTGTCGTACTTTCCCTCTATCCGGCTCCAAAAACATGACAAAGAAAATACACTGCATTGTTTGTATGGATGTGGTTAGGGTTCTCCTACTACTACGTAGCCTGACCGCTTATCACAAGAGGGTTTTTTTTTTCCTTCTACCTGGAGGTCCTCACCCCACTCCATAGTTGTCAGATCAAAGAACTCGTTTAAGGCCTATACCCTTAAAGAAAAGGTCCCCCCCCCCTTCCCATCAGAACCCATTCCACCGGGGCTTTTGGTGTCTCCTTGGCTTTACAGCATCAAGCATCTAAGCCCCAGATTTGCATTATCACTACATAATCCTTTTGTCTACATGTTATCCATATGTTACTAGGTGAACATTCAGGCTTCAGCTTATGCAAGCTTTTCTCTGAGTATTTTGTTCAGATTCTTTAAACCCTCTTTGCTGTTGCTCCTTCTCAAACACCACTTGGCTCTTCAGTCCATTTCCACTGCCAACCTGCAGGGACCTGGTCACCTCCTGTTTCCTAGAACCCTCATCAGCTCCAGTTAGTTGGGGAATAGCTGATGTGTTGCCTCACATTTGGCTCAGTTTGCATTACTACAATGTGGAAACATCTTTGGTAAAATAGAGGACAGTCTTGCTGCTGTTGGTGACCTCAGTCCATATTCCTATAGAGGTTCTGAGGGTTTTTTTTTACACGATATCCCTCCCAGGAGGATCGGACACTCCTAATCCAGAACCTCAGACCCCTTGCTGGGTTTTCATAAGTCTTCCTTAGCTTTGTTTAATGAGGTAGAGTTCTCCCCCATGTCCACGCAATCTGTGTATTCTTAGCTGCTGGGACATGCTGCCTACTGATGCTCTAAGCGTTCCTCCCGAGCCTTTAAGTCTTTCCTGTCACCCATATGACTTATTCACAGTCCCAACAGTTCCCTTGGTTTTTGAGGCCCTGCAGTGTGCTACCATTACCTCAGATCTACAGCGAACTTTCAAACCCCCACAGTATCATGCTGTTACTTGAGATTTACATGGACCTTTTGGCAGACCCTATTTCTGCTTTGTGTTCTGCCGTGTCTCTGGAGGTTCTGGCTGTGTTCTAAGCTTTGGGACTATTAGGGCTCTTACACCTGAGAATACCTTTCCTCTGTCTATTTTGAGAGAGACATCCACATGGTCTCTATGGACCAAGAAGTCCCTTGCATGACTTACCAGTTTCTTCATGTAAGTTAGGTGGTCTTTTTGCCCCTGCTATGGTGATGTCTCCATACCAGGGACTCCAGTCTGGCTCCATAGAAAGGTGGTTTCCTCTTTGGGGGACTCTGCCTTGAGTCCATCTTTGTGAGTATTGCAGTGCATTCTGCTCCAGAAATGAGTAAGAACCTTTTCTGAGACAGAGCAAGTACCTTGGCCACTATGCCAGATGACACCAAGTACTACTCTGGACCACAGGGTCTGCCTTAAAGACAATGCTTTGAAATCTGTTACTTCTCTGCCAGCAGTCTCTGCACAAGGGGGGGGGGGAGAGGTTTGCACACCTGGGTGCTCTTCATCTCCCACATTGGAGGCTTTTCCCTTCTTTGCTATGGATTCTTCATTGGACACCCAGATAGGCCAGAAGATTCTTAGAACCATTTTCTGTGGTTAAGGGCAGCCCAGTGGCTAAGTGGCTAACACTTCTGCCTGGCAGCACTAGGGTTATTGTTTCAAATCCCAAACCACTGCACTACCTGCATGTTCTTCCTGTGCCTGTGTGGGTTTCCTCCGGGTTATCTGGTTTTCTCCCACACTCCAAAGACATTCTGGTAGGTTAATTGATGTGAATGTACAATATCTATCTCAATAACTGTGAAAATTGTCGGCGCTATACAAGTACCTGTAATAAAATGTAGCAGGTCTTGCACAATTCCTCTGTCAGGTCCCAGAGACAACCTTTGAGTGTTTAATGTTCCTTTTTTTTTTTTTTTTCATTTTCTTTTGGTGGTTCCATTTTAATCAACATGGGGTTGTTTTTCACACACCAGGTAGTTGGGTCTGTTCACTTTTTTTATGCACATTTCTGCTTTCCCAGCCTTTGTTCATGCTCAGTGTTTCTTTAGTTATTCACCTGTGTCTTGGTCTTGAGGGTTGATCTTCTCTGGCTGTCTGTTGGTCAGTGACCACTACCCCTGTCTTGCAAGGGGCTTCACCTCATCTGGTACTGTTTCAGCCATTGGTCCTTTCAGGTGGTTCCGAGTTGCAGACAGTCCCCAGTCCCTTTTTTTTTATGGGCCAGTCAGTGGTTCCCCACTTGTCAATTGGATTTCTTTTGAATGTATGTAGATTCCCAAGTTCCTAAAGGTCAATTGAAAAGAGAACCTGTTTTTTGTACTTTCATTGAGGGGCATAGGGCTTACCCATTTGTGCTTTTCAATGGAATGTTGAATGTTAAAGCTATACCTCCCTCTTCCTTTTTATTTATTATTTTTATTTTAAGGCGCAGGGAAATGGCAGAGAGAGAGCGTCGGGAAAGGGAGCATGTACGAATAATGAGAGAGCGTGAAGAGCTTGACCACCTACAAAGGGAGCGTGAAAGACTCGAAATAGAAAGACAGAAGCTGGAACGTGAGCGAATGGAGCGAGAGCGTCTAGAAAGAGAGCGTATTCGAATTGAGCAAGTAAGTGCATTTCTCCTCAGGATTTCATACATTTGATGCTTTTGAAAAAAGCCTGCACCTTTTTTTTTTCGTTTTAAATTTTTATTTTTTTGTCAGTGAGCAGAACATTTTGTATAGTTTGATTTGCCAGAACATTTTGGAGTAGTTTTTGGTTTGGCTTAACAAGGATTTGTAACAATGCAAATATTTCTGTAGCTTCTAATTAAAGCTACCTTTCTAAGTCTCTACATGCTATTTTTGTTAAGTTTAACCCTTTTAGTCACTGTATATACTTTACTATAATGATTCTACTTCTTACAGTGTACTGTGATTTAAGGTAAACCTTCCTTGGGACACATGCTGCCATTGCCAGTCCTCTTCTGAAGATTCTAGTGTTTTGGCTTTGTATACTGGCCTACTGTGCTCTCAAAAGTTTGCAGAATAGAAATGTCCGCCTCCATGTCTCCCCTGCAAGAACTACATAAATTGCTGTTACTCATCTTATATTCTTTGCTGACTTCAATTTTTACTTTTGATGTTGTAATGATGTGTATGTATTGGAAGGCGTAGAAGCTTTATGGTTAGAGAATACTGTTCCTTGTGGCATGTTGAACAGATCCTTCACTTCTCACCCCTGTGTCAAGAATAAGTATGGTCTGGAGTTGAAGGGAAACTAAAGCCACCTTTCCCTCAGACAAGGAAGCTGTCCTCTTCCTTCCAAGCTTCTTCAGCTTGATCTATATTAGCCATGGTGCTGTGCGACACCAGACATTTTGATGTTTTGACAGTTTGGTTGAGAGCACTAGCAACTCTGACTGTTATCATTTGCTGCCTGCCTTGAATGTCATCATTTTGCAAAATTAGTGGGTTTAGTTCCCCTTTAAATACAGAGGTTGGACAAAAATAAGTAAACGTGATGTGCAGGTTTGAAAGTGATATGTTTCCCTTTCAAAGTGGAAGTGATGTAACATTCTTTTGTTTCCGCTTTGTGATGAGACGCCTAGCTAACAGTTAATGACAAAAGTGAGGATTCCCACCTGAGTGTGCTGCTAGTAATATGGAGTCATGTCAGAGCTTACTGCGCTTCAAAGAGGGCATATTGTTGGTGCCTGCTTAGCTGGTGCCTCTGACTGAAGTTGCAAATTTATTTGTGGTATCGCGAGGTACAGTATCAAAGGTGGTTATGGCATATATGGTTCCCAGGAAAAAAAAATCAACTCTAAGCATAAGCGTGGTTGACCTGGCCAACTGACCAAAAGAAACGGACATTGTGTAGAATTGTGACCCGGAAGAAAAAAAAAAACTGCTGCAAAAGTGACTGCAGAGCTCAATCTCTGTGTCCCAAAGCCCATGTCCACAAAAATTGTTTACCATGGCCTTTTACCATGTGATCAGCTGTGTCCAACAGCAAATCACAAAGTGAATACAGTTGCTGATTATCAACAGCACTTTCATCACGCTGGCATAGCAAAAGGAAAATACTGCTGATAACTGGCAAACGTCAGAGGAAATCCACAATAATTGGGGCACTGATGATCATTGCTGCTCATCAGTGCCTCCCCATCATTTCCCACCCCATCAGTGCTGCCCATCAGTGCAGCCTCATCAACGCACATCAGTGAAGGAGCAAAATTACCTTTTTGTAATAGAAACAGGTTTTTTTGCTATTTTTTTTGTTGTTAGTGCACAAAAAAAAACCCCAGTGGCGATTAAATGCCACCAAAAGAAAGCTCTATTTGTACCCACATGAAATTGTACCGTTTTTTTCCGGCGTATAAGACGACTTTTCAACCCATGAAAATCTTCTGAAAAGTCAGGGGTCGTCTTATACGCCGGTATACGGCGAGCCGGTGTCATGGTGGCACTTTTTCGAGGGGCGGCACCGCCCCCCCTCCTCCTCCAACGGACACTAAGTACAGGGGTGGGCAGAGGGGCTGCTGTACCTTACCTGGCTCCGGTCCCGGTCCCACGACGATCCGGTCTAGGAAGCGCGACTGCTCCTTTCAGTTCGGCCGCTTGATGGTCGCTTGGCTCCGCCTCCTCACCGGTGATTGGCGCCAGCACTGGAAAGGCACACAGGCGGCCAATCACCGGCGAGGAGGCGGAGCCGAGCGGGCCCGCGAAAAATCGAGCGGCCGAACTAAAAGAAGGAGCAGCCACTCCTCTCCCCCACTGACACCAATGATGGGGCACTATTCCTCCTCCCCACTGACACCAATGATGGGGCACTATTCCTCCTCCCCACTGACACTAATGATGGGGCACTATTCCTCACCCACTGACACTAATGATGGGGCACTATTCCTCACACACTGACACTAATGATGGGGCCTATTCCCACTGACACTAATGATGGGGCACTATTCCTCACACACACTGACACTAATGATGGGGCACCAGACCTCAGTATTCTAGAGCCACTATGGTCAATTTTGGAGAACAAAGTTTTTGGTTTAGTTTTCTGCCTCTGGAATCTCAGCAGGAACTGGAGCAATTTTTGCATGAAGAGTAGTATCTGGTTCCATTATCTACTATCCAAGACTTAGATTTGTCAATTTCCAGGATAATTTTGGCCTTCTTAGATGCCAAAGTTGGTCCAACACCAGATTGGGTAACCATCTTTTTTTTTTTTTTTTTTTTTTTTTTTTTTTACCTGGTGTTTCTATCATTTTTGCCCCACCCCTGTACTTGAGTCTGTAACCCAAAACAAGGACTGGGAATTAGGAATTTTCAGACTTCTACTTTTACTGCATGCTTGCACTGGATCTTGATCTCAAGTATTGAAACTGGACTTGGCCAAGGATGATGCCAGAAATGGCAGTTGTAGTTTTGCAGGTATTTGCATGTAATCTGTTTTGTTGCAGGTCTTTAAACAAAATGTGCAGCTACAGTCTCATATGCCAAAAAAAATTATACAAAAAAAAATCACCAGCGCCAGAAAATATGTATGAAATCCCAAATAAATGCGGTTGTTCCTTAGTGACAACACTAATAATATAACAAAAAACAAATAACTGCGCAAATAAACAACTAAAAAAAAATTAAATTAAAAAAAAAAATCATACAGAGAAAAATATGATTGTTAAATAGTCCCACTTCAAAAAATAAAATATGGTGGGTAGAATGAAATTGAAAGTCCTTATTCCAAGACCCTTGACCAGTGTTTCACACCCGTTTCTGCTAAAATCACGTACAGCACTCACCAGATATTGGTGAAATAAACGCCTTATGTATGGGCTCGGGAATCCTAGATCCCCTCAACTCAGCCTCCAACCACAAGGTCATGATGGAAATCCCCCAATGCAGGTTAAGGTATATGCCTCAGAACTCCAAACTGTAGTTTATATCAGCCTCCAACCTCCAGGACCACCAAAGATCACTCGCCATAGAAAGATGATTGGTACAGAGAAAAAATGTATATAGTGTAATACTGCAAGACTCAAACAGGGTGAATGCAAATACCAAACCACTCACATCTTAAAAGAATGTAATCCACATTTATTATTTATCTGGAGCCAAAACGCCACATCACCAAGATAAAGATCTCACAGTCCGCGATAGATGACAGCATGTTAGAATCCACCCTCTAGGAAGATGGCCCATGAGAGCACCGCACGGTTGCGTCCGCTCCACTCACTGTAAGTGATGTGGTACGTTGGATGGCGAAGCTGGAAATGCATCAACGCGTCTCACCCCTCCTGAAAACGCCTTGAAAGGCAAAACGCGTTGACGCATTTCCAGCTTGGCCGTCCAACGTACCACGTCACTTCCGGTGAGTGGAATGCACGCCGGCGTGCGGCGCTCTTGGGCTATCTTCCTAGAGGGTGGATTCTAACATGCTGTCATCTATCGCTGACTGAAATCTTTACCCTGGTGATGTGGCGTTTTGGCTCCAGATAATAAATGCGGATTACATTCTGTTAAGATGTGAGTGGTTTGGTATTTGCATTCACCCTGTTTGAGTCTTGCAGTATTACACTATATACATTTTTTTTCTTTGTACAAATCTTTGTATGGCGAGTGATCTTTGGTGGTTGGAGGCTGATTTAAACTAAAGTTTGGAGTTCTGAGGCATTTACCTGCATTGGGGGCTTTCGATCTTGACCTAGTGATTGGAGGCTGAGTTGAGGGGATCTAAATTTCTTGAGCCCATACATAAGGCGTTTTTTTTTTTTTCACCAATATCTGGTGAGTGCTGTACGTCAAGGGTCTTGGATAAGGACTTTAAATTTCATTCTACCCACCATATTTTATTTTTTGGAGTGGGGCTATTTAACAATCATATAAATACTACAAATCATACAAAGAAGAAAAAAAAAAAAAAAAAAAAAAAAATATATATATATATATATATATATATATATATATATATATATATATATATATATATATATATATATATATATTTTATTTAGTTTATTTGTGCTTTTTTTTGATAGTCTCTCATACGCCAAGTCCTTTGTTATAAGATTCATGCATTTTGGTAGGCAAAATCTTATGCATGTATTGCTCAGGAATGTACACACATTTATATTGATATGTGAAAGGTTTATTTGTCTATATACTTTCTTTGTTCCAAAACCGCACACAATATTGAAAAGCACTGCAAGAAGCAGTCAAAGCATTTTTTAAAAAAATATATTGTACTCTACAGGAAAGGCGAAAAGAAGCTGAGCGCATTGCACGTGAAAGAGAGGAACTGAGGCGACAACAAGAGCAGCTTCGCTTTGAGCAGGAGAAAAGAAACTCTTTAAAACGACCTCGTGATGTTGACCACAGGTATCTTATATCAATAGGGTTGACAAATCACACATGCTTGGAGCAAAGATCCAGTTTAGTGACCAATATTTCTGCTTTTGTTTTATCCTAAAAAATAACCATCCGCTGCCTTGTCAAAACGTACAGGACATAGGAGTCGGTCCACAGACTTGTATGGTATATTCCACGACCTTCAGGTGGTTGGACACTGGCAAAACCTTTGCTGGGTCCACCCTTAGTGTATCCATAAACTCCATCCACACTGAGGCCCCAGTATTTTGCTTATGTTCTTAAGGGATGGATGCCTTCTCTTCTTCGAGACATATTTCCTACTGTTTTTCACCAGATTTATGTTATCTCGTTTGTCTAGCACTTCTGTCAAGATCTGACTGCTTAATTGCTCACTACCAGTTTGTGGATCATTTAACCTTGTGTACACTTTGGGAACTGTAACCAGACTCTGGCAGCGTGGCTGTCTCATAAGGTTTGCTTTGGACACAGGATCCAGCATTTGGCTTTCGCTTTACCACATGGTGTAACGACTGTAGTTAGCCACAGGGTGCTATACAGGGGCAGACCCATGGTCCATTCCTATGACACAGAGACCCTGAAGACCCCTTCGGGGGTATTCCTACAATGATGGAAAAGCCTGTACCTTAAAGGGGACCAGCGATGTTGACAAAGTAATACAGGTTTTCTCTGTGCCTTTCTACATACTGGTTCTTGGCTTTTCATGTCTTGATGGCTCGTAGCCTACACTACATCCTCCTGTGACAAGACATGCCGCAGTGTCATGTACACAAGCTATATACAAGGCACTGCTTGTGTGCATAGGTGAGCGGGATCTACACTTGGGGGCAGGGGCGGACTGACCATTTGGAAATTCGGGCACTGGGTCAGTAGGGCGCCCCATGAGATGCCCCTGGTACCTTTTTCATAGGCTTTTTTGAGTTTGGGCAAGGACACAGGGGCCCCATGATCCCCTATTGCCCGGGGGCCCCATGAGTTGTCAGTCCGCACCTGCTTGGGGGTTTATTTACCAAAGCTGGGAAGTGCAAAATCAGGCTCACGTCTGCACAGAAACCAGTCAGCATCCAGGTTTTATTGCCAAAGAAATCCCAACTGCATGCTTCTGGCATAAATGTTTTGGAGACTCCTCTTTTGCCCTGGCAGGCCCGTCCATACAGCTGACCATAGCCACTTTATTTGTTGAACAGGCTATGGCAAACTGAGCTGCAGAAATTATTGGTGAGCTTTGTCCTGATATAGATCATCCTAATCTTCAAGATTGCAGCACTTACTTTGGCCTAATTTTTGTTGCATAGATGCCATGGAGAATGAGATCACTAGAATGTCCTTACTTTTCTGTCCATATGCGCTTAAAGCTTGGGCAACTGACCTGTTTTGGCAGAGGTGCCTATTGTACGTGCTCTTTGAACTTTTATTCTGCAATTCCATTGATGAATACATTGAGGTAGAGGGTTGGGTCCCCCTGTCAGAATACAATGTCTCAGCAGAAGAGAACTGGTTGTGTTGATGAGGGGAGTCTGTCAGGTGTGTATGGGTTTTTTTTTTTGTTCAATCTGCTGGTTAAATCTGGGTACAGTTTCTTTTTTTTTTGTTTCAATCTTATCTGCCCTCCTATCCTCTAAGTGCTGCTTTTGGGTCGAAAGTAAGTTTCAATAACCCCACTGTGGTCTTATTGTCACCATGGATATTTCCTTTCATTCTGGGAAAGAATACTGGGATATTCCAATTTTACACAGGAACCACCTTCCTTTTAGTGCTGCACATGATACATTAGTTAAAACTCGCGCCGTGGGAAGGCTGCTGCAAGGTCATCTTTAGTCCTGGCATTTGTCTGATCTCTTGTAGACCTGCTGCTGGATCTCTCTGGTAAGAGCTTCTCCTCCCTTATAGCGAACACAGTGCGGTGGGTTATTATCCCTTCTATTTATTCATCTATGTAATTCTTGCATTACAAGCAGAATTTTATTTCCTTTTCTAGTTTGGCACCCTGTGTGCTCGATCTTTCTCCTTGAACAGACCCAGTGGTCTTGGAGACTGGATACCACAGGACTCTTGTATCCTTGTATCCTTGAGTCCTTGTATCTTATGCCTGCCTGCTGCTGCCTACACTATTTACCTGTAGTTTGGCCCGCATAGTTCTGGGATTATCCCCCTGTGACCTTTGGTCTGGAAGCCAAGTCTTTTACTTACATTTTTCTTCAACAGCACATTCACATCAATGCCTGATCCATGCACCAAAAAAAAAAAAAAAATTGGCACTTTTCAGTTGCCCTTTATTAGACTAATTCTCATGTATGCTGGGTCTGTCTTGACCTTTGCAGCACATTTCCCTACCTCTTCTAAGGCTGTAGATTGCTAACTTGCCCTATTAAGGTGACTACGCTCTTACCTTCCCAAGGCCTTGGCACCGGTTGACCTAATTTTTGCCTACTTAGTATTAGGAAAGGTCACTATTGAGGGCCTCCTACCCCTGCTCTCAAGGTTTCCTTTAGGTGGTTGCCTTTTCTTCTCCACTAGTCTATACAGGGGCTTTAGCACTTGGGCTGCCTTGCTCAACTCTCTTCTCCAGCTTGTGGCTTTCCCATTTATTTTCTAATATCCCTACTTCCTGAATATTCCTTACTGCCTCCCGACTTCTGTGTTGGATGAATACACACATGTGCACGTTTTCTTCTTTTGTTTTTTTAATCTTTCTCCTAGGGGGTAATATTGCCTCTGCTTGCAGATTTGGAAGACAGTGTTGCCCAGGGAGCTGATGAGGAAACCTCAATTGTGGGGTTCATTCTCAATCCTAATCCTCCACATGCATCTGCTTGTTACTGTTTACATCATAGCATTTGGTACCATGTTTGTCTTGGTTTGAACTTGTATATCCTCTTCCTTAACTTGCATTTACTCTGGGACTCATGCAAGACCTGTTTACAAGCAAAGCCCTCCTTTTCTGTTTTCAGGAATTGTTCCTTTTATGAGTTCTTATAAAAATTGATCCTCACTCTGTCACCCCTGACAATGGTAGTTTTGCTTTGGCCTTCACTGTCAGAGGTAGCTTATGCCTTGTACAAATACATATTAGATTCATAATGAGACATAAACTTGTAACCCTTAGGAGAGATGATCCTTTTTGGAATGAGAACAAGAAGATGGCAATGGATACAGACTCTCGCTTCAGCCAAGGATCTGACTTCAACCGTCAGCAGAATAGGTTCAATGACTTTGACCATAGAGAGCGTGGTCGGTATCCAGAATCTTCATCTGCAACATCTTTTGACAGGTAACAATATTTTGAAGCATGCATTGAGACAACAAAAAACTGTTCTGTGTAGTTTCAGTGAACATATTAAGTTATTGCAGTATTTACTTTACATTTTAAAGCGGCTTTTAGGTCCTTTTTTTTTTTTTTTTTTTTTTTTTTTTTTTTTTTCCCCCCCCTAATTCCCTCTATTTTCTATTTATAGATTTTTTTTTTTTTTTTATTTTTTCTTTTAGATTGGTCACTGTATAGGTTACTGACCTTTTCTTGCTTAATGGTTTGGATGTGATATCGACCACCTAGTGTTCAGTGGTTGAAAAATGCTTAGACTTTTATTGTGAGTAGTAGAAATAAAGCCTGCAGATATGAGAAGCAAGTCTGGCTGTGCTAATGTAGTTGGACAATTCCAAACTAAACCTAATAACCAGGTTTTTAAATGTGCCAACTATTTTTTTTAAGATGTATATCATATACGAAGTTGGATCTTTATAGTTCTGAAAAAAATGATTCAATAAAGCCATTTTAACTACGTTGTAGGTAATTGGGCAACAATATTCCAGTACCAACACCACACCTATGGAGGGCTCCCAGTTAGGTCTAACATTAATGGGTATAGAAAAATGGTGCTCATGGGGCTTGTTTGGATAAAAATAAAGCAGTTTGTCTTTTATTTATTTTTTTTCTAAATTGCTAATTTGGCAGACGTGATCGATTTGAGGCACCAGAAGGCAAAAAGGGTTTTAACAAGAACTTTGGTGATTCAAGAAGAAACGATGCAGCACAACCTCGAAATGAACCACGAGACACAGACCGGAGGGATCGGGATGAAAGGAGACCTGTGGGTATGGAAAGAGCAGGTGGAAACAGACCTGAAGGCCAAAGTCATGAAAGAGGTAGAATGAGCAGTCAAGATATGCAGCATGGTCGCCACCAGAGAGACCCTCCAGGAAACCAACCACGCTCAGCTAATTGGAAAGGAGGAATGCCTCCAGATAAGCGCGATACAAGGTACTCATATCATTATTCTAGTGTATGTATGTGTGTGTATATATTATAATATAATTTGTTTTTATTGCTGGATAGATGCTTAGCAGTGTTTTTTTGTAAATGGTCTGCAGTGTTCACATGAATTGGGAATGCCCTGAAACCTTTCAGATAGAATTGTACCTTTTTAAAAAACAAAAAACTTTGATTAAAGTATTGTATGATTTTCCTAACAGGCCGGGTAGAGCTGGCCCTGGCCATGCTTCCAGAGGTGGTCATAGCAGTCGTGGGGGAAAATCTGGCTATAGCGGGAGAGATGGTGACCGGCCAGTCATGGCAGGAGATCGTGGTAGTGGACAAGTAAGTATCTGGTTTCTGTACTTTTGAGCTTTAGGGACTGTGGTTTACCTAAAGTAAACCAGTCTAAGTAGGCTGCCACTGACCACTTGAAAAACATGTCTGTTGCACTGCTCAGATGGCTTTCAGACTAAGTCTCTATCTTGAAACAAATTTTTCAGATATTTAATCTCACAAGTCCTAGATGGGTTATATGCTGCTACCTTCAGATAATTGGGCACGGACTATAATTTGTGCCACTATACAATTACCTTAAGGTAGGCTTGTATAATATAACCCATGATCTAAGACTGTGCAACTCCAAAGTCACATGATTTCCAGTGCAGCTTTTATGTAATTGACGGGGAAACCCAAAACTCATAGGTTTCGGTAACATTTTGACTGCTGAAGTCTGAAAAGTAGATGTGTTTATTATACAAGCATGTAGTTAGACCATGCAGGGAGAGCAGAACAGTACATAGTGTTGGATTCAAGAGTAGTGCTCTAACTGGCTGAGAAATCGAATACAATTTTTTTGTCCTAAGATGGGTGGGAACCTAGATATCTGACTACTTTGACATTCATCCTTATCTCTGGCGGAATTTATTGAGGTGATGGTTGTCATTCAACGGAGCCTTGCCACTGGCTCTTTGCGGGGGGGGGGGCAGGCAGGTCTTCAAAGGCCAAGATATCAATCTTGCCAGCTAAAGGTGTAAATGGCATTCTAATACAAGAAATACAGTTTTTGAACAATAGGACTTTTAATAACAAAATATGCATTCAGTATATCTGCTTAATCAAAACTAAATGTTTGCTAAAATGGCTGTTCCATTTTCCCCTCACATGACTTTTCAGTCTCTGGCATTCAAGTTGCATCAAATTGGTACAGAAGCCTTTTTCAAAGTTGCCGCATCTTTGTCGCATACATTCAAAAGGGTGCCATTGAAAACATTATGCAGCTACTTGTCAAGCGGCTGTGTCCAAAGTTACATAAGTCGGACAAATGTGAATGGAGCCCAAGACTACAGATCCTTAGTCTTGCACTGTACTGATAAGAAATAAGATTTTTGTGCTTGAAGTGGAACTAAACTCTCTCAACCAATATTGACTAATTTTAAACCTTATACTTTCCTATTAACTAATGTTAGAAGCACATCATGTTTTCAGTTAATTCCTGGTTTCCAGGTCTAGGCAAAATGATGTTCTACATCCCAAGGGTTTTCAGGATGAGGAGGTTTTTTTCAGCTAAACATGGCCTCCACATGCAGGCCTAGTCTTAGGGCAGATGAATTCCAGGAAGTAAATGCTACATGAATCATCTGCCTTTGGTCATGATGGCCACGGACAGAAATGCTAGGGGCTGTTTTTTTAAAGTTCTTTCTTAGCAAAATAAAGCATGGAGACATGGGTGGATTTCTGAATATTAAAAATCACAGCATTTCAGCTTGCCGTGTTCAGATGCTGTTTAAGCTTAAAAAAAAAAAAAAAAAAATCTTTCTTTTGAGCCTATTGAAGGATAGAGGAATTCAGAAACAGGTTATGCTGTCTCCTACAGAAAGTCGGGACCCTGGAAAACAGAAATTTGTAAGCCACGCCCCATATAATCCCCTCCACAACCAAACATGGATTAGTTTTGTGTTAAAGTAGTACCAAGGACCACCCAAAAAAAAGGATTGGGGGTCTGTGTGCACCTCAGTTAACTGCAGGAAATAGTTTTTACTGTACAAAAATCTCCTGCTGAGAATGCACCCTCATATAACCTCACCTCAAGGGGACTCCGTGTGTGTGTTTTTGTTCTGTCCCTACTGATGTTGACTGATGGACGTCTTGTCCTGAAGTAGTTCCTACAAATGTATTTATTTTCCTTTTTTGGCTGTGGTCCATTAATATGGCGCCCATTCTCTGGTAAAAAAAAAAAAAAGGGTGGTCCAGTCAGTGGAGGGGACAAGATGCAGATTAGTTGAGAAAAAAAAGCCTAATGGTTCTCGGGCTATAGGCTTCACTGAAGAAAACAGCAAAATGCTCAGCTCCCTCTCAGGTTGCTTGTTGCACATCTATCTGACTAAGGCAGATTTTACTGCAACTATGTGTGATCCTCCACTCCTACCACTCCATCCCCCACAGCCATTTCCTCCTGTACCACTATCCCCTCCCTCCTAGATTGTAAGCTCCAAGGAGCAGGGCCCTCGAGCCCCTCGTGTTTTGTTACTGTATTGTCTCAAGTACTGTCCCCCACTATAATGTACAGCGCTGAGCAAACTTTTTGGCGCTATAGAAATACTGTATAATAATAATATAATTTCTTTGGGAAACACTGTCCTTCTGGAGCCCCAAAATCGCTCTTCTACCTCTCTACTACCTGCATCTATTCAGGGGTATGAACCCTGATCCTTCTACCCTCTGACTAAGATGTTATGGAGGGCGAGTCAGATGCAGAAGAGGATCCTGCGGAAGAATTTTCAAATTCTGCATTTTGTGACCCAAAGCTAAGGCCTCACGCATGCTTTTTGCCCTGAGCTCACTTAACGGTACAGAACATATCGGCCTTTGTTGAATAACCCTGGATTGCTCACAGCAATATAAGCTTCTATGGACACTAAACTGTTGTCAGAATCTAGAAAGACTTTTTTCTCTGCACACGCAAGTTACCTGTACTTTGTATGAGGGTTGGCCAAATCCTGACAATGTATTTATTTCTCCCAAACTTTTTGGCGTTCTATGTTATGGAAAGGAAGTTTTTGAAAAAATTGTCAGTTCCTTTCTCAACAAGCGGTTTCCTGATCCTGTCGAAGATGTTCCCTCATTCAGGGATTCGGACCACACGCTCTTTGAAACCTTGTTGAAGGCGTCCTTTGCTCTTGCAGATCCTGCCTTACAGCCGACCATTTTGACGATGTACATTTGTAAAACTGTAGCTAACTGGACTAGACAAAGGACTAAAGAGTAAATATGGTTCTGTGTTTCTAAACCCTGTTCTAGAACAATTGCAAGTCACACCTTTTAGTGCTGTCAGGCGTGGTGTTTTTTTTTTTTTTTTTTTTTTTTTTTTTTTTTTTTTTTGAGTTGGTAGCTCTTTCTTGTGAAAAAAAAATCTTATTTTGCATGTAAATAAAGTGATCCTGAGACCAGACCCTCCTTCCTCCTCAAGCTGGTCTTGTTCTGTCACCTCAGATATATTATCCCTTTCCTATGTCTCCTCACACACCACAGATTTTGCTCTGTATTGTCTGGATGTGGCCAGAGCAGTTGGTTTAGGGTGATATAGTTTCATCTTTCAACGTAGCTAGGTGGCTCAGGCAGCTTTTTTTTTTTTTTTTCTTTTTTTGCAATGCGACGCTGTGTTACTGAACTGACAATTGCGCGGTTATGCAACACTGTACCCGAATGAAATTTGTCGTTCTCCCCCCCAGCTTTCTTTTGGTGGTATATGACCACCTCTGCAGTTTTACTTTTTGCATTATAAACCAAACATATTTTCAAAAACACGTCTTCAAAAATGTAGGACAAAATTGTTTCTACATATTTTTGGTAAAAAAAAAAAAAAAAAAAGAATCCAACTGAGAGTAATATTAGTTTGCCCAAAAGTTTTATAGCGTCTACAAACTATGTACATATACTGGAATTTTTTAAAATTATTATTTTTTTTTAAAATTATATTGGTAATGGCGGTGACCAGCGACTTAGAGTGGGATTGCAAAATTGCGGCAGACATTTTTACACTAGCTGACACTTTTGTGGGAACCAGTAACAGGAATACAGTGATCAGTGCTAAAAATATACACTACTGTAATAATGACACTGGTTGTGAAGGGGTTAACATCTAAGGTAATCAAAGGGTTAATTGTGTGCCTAGCTATGTGCTTGGTGTACACTAGGTGGTGCTGGAACAAGAGCTCTGCAGGGACACATGATCAATCAATCACTCCCTTCTGTCACAACAGAGCTGTGCCTGTGTAAACCTAGGTACAGCTTTGTTCTTCCCTGCCCGATCTGCAGGTTCAACGTATGTTTGCCTGGACTCGCAGAACGGTCACAGCAGAAGTAATCCGGCGGTGCGTGTGTGCCCCCCCATGAGGTGTAAGTGCAAAATCACGTACACAGTGCATCCAGAAAGTATTCACAGTGCTTAACTTTAATCCATTTTGGAATAAGGCTGTAACCTAAAATGTGGCAAAATTCTTTTTTTTTTTTTTTTTTTTTTTTTTTCCCCTCAACATTCTACTAAAAATACCCCATAATGACAACATGAAAGAAGTTAGTTTTCAAATTTTTGTAATTTTAGTAAACCTAAACCACATGTACATACAGTAAGTATTCACAGCCTTTGCCATGACACTCAAAATTGAGCTCTGGTGCATCCTGTTCCCACTGATCATCCTTGAGATGTTTCCACAACTTGTCTGGAGTCCACCTGTGGGAAATTCAGTTGATTGGACATAATTAGGAAAGACATAAACCTGTCTATATAAGGTCCCACAGATAACAGTGCATGTCAGAGCACAAACCAAGCCATGAAGTCCAAGGAATTGTCTGTAGACCTCCGAGACAGGATTGTATCAAGGTACACATCTGGGGAAGGGTACAGAAAAAGGTCTTCAACATTGAAGGTCCCGATGAGCACAGTAGCCTCAAACATTCGTAAATGGAAGAAGTTCCAGGAATCTTCCTAGAGCTGGCCGCCTGTCAAAAATAAGTGATTGAGGGAGATGGGACTTTAGCCAGGGAGGAACTGAGCACCCGATCACTATGAAAGAGCTTCAGCATTTCTCTGTGGAGAGAGGAGCACCTTCCAGAAGAGCAACCATCTCTGCAGCACTCCACCAATCAGGCCTGTATGGTTGAATGGCCAGATGGAAGCCACTCCTCAGTAAAAAGGCAAGTGGCAGCCCGCCTCGAGTTTGCCAAAAGGCACCTAAGGGACTCTCAGACCATGAGAAACAAAACTCTCCGGTCTGATGAAACAAAGATTGAACTCTTTGGCCTGAATGCCAAGCGTCATGTCTGGAGGAAACCAGGCACTGTTCATCACCTAGCCAATACCATCCCTACAGTGTAGCATGGTGGTGGCAGCATCATGCTGTGGGGTGTTTTTCAGCGACAGGAACTGGGAGACTAGTCAAGATCGAAGGAAAGATGAATGCAGAAATGTAAAGAGACATCCTTGATGAAAACCTGTTCGACTGCTCTGGACCTTAGACTGGAGCGGTGGTTCATCTTTCAACAGGACAATGACCTTAAGCACACAGCTCACATAACAAAGGAGTGGCTACGGGTGGACTCTGTGAATGTCCTGGAGTGGCCCAGCCAGAGCCCAGAGTTGAAACCGATTGAACATCTCTGGAGAGATCTGAAAATTGGCTGTGCACCGACGCTTCCCATCCAACCTGATGGAGCTTGAGAGCTACTGCAAATAATGGTAGAAATTGCCCACAAATAGATGTGCCAAGCTTGTAGTATCATACTCAAAATGACTTGAGGCTGTAATTGGTGCTAAAATATTGAGCAAAGGCTGTGAATACTTATGTACATGTGTTTTTGTTTTGTTTTTTTTTTCCATTTATTTTTAATAAATTGCAAAGATTTCCAAACTAACTTCTTTCATGTTTTCATTATGGGGTATTGTTTGTAGAATGTGGAGAAGAAAATGAATTTAATCCATTTTGGAATAAGGCTGTAACCTAAAATGTGGCAAAAGTTGAGCTCTGTGAATACTTTCTGGATGCACTGTATATACGTTTTTTTACACAGGAGAGCCACCCTGTAACAGTAAAACTGCAATAGGGTGGGGGTGAACTATTGCATGTTCCTTGCCTAAATTCCATTCCACCTGTGATGTCTGACTGGAGCACTGTATGAGGCTACCTGGCTAATTTTCTGATTGTAGAAGATGGTATTTTTTCCAAAGTGCATTTGTATCTTTAAAAAAAATATATATTTTTTTATTTTTAGAATGTAAGTGTGTGTATATTTAATGTATTTATTTTTACACAGCATTATAATGAAGGCAGACACATGGCCCCAGGAAGGGATAATACAGGGCCAAGAAAGGAATGGCACAGTCCAAACACACGAGGGGGTGGATATGACAACAGAAGAATGCCAGATGGTCACAGTGGAGGCATGATGTCTTCACATTCCAGGTTTGCTGTTTTTTTTATTTTTCATTTGTTTTATATTTATGTAATCTATATAGCTAATGTTTGGGACATTTATTTTCTGAAATGTTAAGAAAAAAAAAGTACACAGTTATGTAACTACAAAAAAACTCCAGAGTGCTTTTACCATTTTTAACCACTTCAAGTCCGGACACCTTTACCCCCTTTCTGTCAAGGCCAATTTTCAGCATTCAGCACTATCACACTTTGAATGACAATTGCGCGGTCATGCAACACTGCACCCATGAATTTTTTAGCATTTTTTTTTTTAAACGGATGAAGCTTTATTTTGGAGGTATTTATTCACCACTGGGATTTTTTTTTTCTTTGCTATATAAAAGAAAGTCCACAAATTTTGAGAAAAATTTCTTATAAAATTTTGCAAATAAATAATCCTTCATAAATCTTGGCCAAAATTCAGTTATCCTTTTTAGTTAAAAAAAAAAAAAAAAAAAAAAAAAAAAAAACCCAATTAGTTTATAACCAAAAATTTTATAATTTTGTTTTTACATTTTTGTTTTATTTTTTTTTATATTTGTATTTTTTTGTTTTTTTTACATACTGTCACCCTAGCAGTACAGTGTCGCCATGGTGATTTTTTTTTTTTTTTTTTTTTTTTTTTTTTTTTTTTTTTTTTTTTGGTACAGGAATTGCTTTTACACCCATAAAGGCTGTAAAAGCAATCATTTCTCCTCTCTGGTTGCATTCTTGCAGCCATTGAGAAACTATGCGAGCTGTGGTTGATTACAGCTTGTCACATGGTACAAGGCTGTTGAGAATAACCTTCTACCATGTGACCTCTGATCATTCAGAGATTTCACACATAATAAGCAATGATGTGATCTTGCTTACTACTCTTCATGTGATCACTGATTGACCAATCAATGATCACATGATCGGGACCTCACACAGAGGTCCCGTACAATGATGGTGTTCCGCTGTGTCCTCCGGATCGCAGTGCTGCTTGCTCCCTGGGAGTGCGCACAAGCCAGGGGCGGGGAGGCCGTTTATAAACTACCACCTGCCCCTGCACTGCCACAGTCTGGCTGTTTATATACAACGGCCGCGAAGTGGTTAAATAAAAATGTTTAAAAGCAATACAGGATTCTTTGGGGTTTTGTTTTGCCTGAACATGCTTGCTGTCACTGTGGTTCCTAATGTGTTTTAAATTAACAGAATATTGTGTTTACCTCCAAGAAGTCAGAACATGTAAATGCAGCTTGGCTCTGCGTTAGGCTGGGACTTAAATGTTAAGGCCTTATGCATTCTGGCTGTTTAGCCCTGATGTATAAGGCTCTGGCATTTAACAGTGGCTGCAGGGCACCAATCTAGCTTCGCTGCCTGCAGCCTATCAAACTTTGAGAGTCTGACAGTTGCTGCAGATGGACAGTGCACTTGGTGTTGTGTAAGCAAGCAGTCTGCTTTCCAGGCATTATCCCCTGGACACATACTGCCCTAAACAGTCTCTCTTCATTGCTAGCTGTTTTGGCTGGATGAAACACAGCCCACCAAGTAGATTTTGAAATGGCATTTACTTAAGTCCTTTTATCACCTAAAAAAAGTTAGTTTTCAGTCTTTGTCATGGTGATGGAGACCCTGAAAAAAACCGCCATCGTGCTCTAAATGTTCACATAACCTCTCTTGCTGATATGGGACTTCACAACAAAAACTGCACACCAAGATGTTCTGAAGTAGGATGTATTGTTGTGGTTTTTTTTTTTTTTTTTTTCATTTGCTACCAAGCAGGAAATAAGTATCTTTTTTTTTTTTTTTTTTTTTTTTTTTTTTTTAACTTTGCTGATCGGTTACTTGGGGATTATTGTACGTAAGAAGACCATATTTGAGAATGCTTTGTGCACAAAACTTTTTATCAGCCTGACTTTTGTTCTTTTGTCTCCTAGTAATTCAGCCATCAACAGAGTTGTACCGATGCCGGGTGGATCCATGCAGCGAGGAAGTGGCTCTGGATTCAAGTCGTATAAGGGAGCACCTCAAAGGAGATACTAAGTTTTCTCTTGCCTGGTTTTTGGAATAACTTATTCTTTCTTGTAAACTCATCTGAATTTGACAAGGGTTTTCTCATATATATATATTTTTTTTTTTACCATTTTAATTCTTAGTTTTATGATGGACTTTTAATGTTATAGTGAAGTTGTTCCTTGGGTAAACAATCCTTGGCAATAACTCCTAACAGTATTTGAATCCAATGTTAAGAATATTTTTCTTTGCTCAAAAATATCACAAACAGGCTTTACAGTGCAATGAACCCCTTGGCCAGCACACCTACCTGACATTGTATTGTTGGATGGATTCAAATATCTTCCAGTGCAGAGCTTGTACAAATGTTATAGGTTTTTATTAAGTGTAGGAAATGTACAGTCTTGACAGGAGCGAATAATCTTTTCTACTTCTGCCCAAGGCTTTCATAAATGAAACACTTTTATTTGACTGAATAAAATGGTCAAGAGTTAGTTGTAGATGTTGATGGCCTTAAAGCCACAATTCAGCTAAAGGAGCCTTGTTTGTCGAGCCCATAATAAGTAATAAAAATATTTTGACTAAAACTGCTTTGCAAGGTAAAATATTTTGGACTAAACTCGCTTTGCCAGGTAACAATTTGTAAGATAGAATGCTATCTGAATAAGTTATTTGAGTACTAAACAGAACTGGGCTTTTTTTTTTGTTTTGTTACTGGAGCAATATTCACCAATGCAATTATGTTTTCCCCTGAGAATCACTTTTTGGAAATGATCTGTGCTAGGCTAGATATCTGGTTACTGAGACTCTTTCAAGATGTAGTATAGTTTTTTTTTTTTGTTTGTTTTTTCGTTTCACTTCAATTTGAGCTTAAACATCATTAAGGCTCCCAATACTGTAGAATATTTTTTTGCACTTGTCTGCAATGTCAAGTTACACTGTGCTGTGATGTGAGCCCTGGCCATGACTTTTTTTCTCCTCAATGTCTTGTAAAATTTTAGGTGGTATAAAAAATAAAGCTGGCTTTCAGTTTTACATGTGTTTTTTTTTTTTTTTGTTTTGTTTTGTTTTGTTTTGTTTTTTTGTTTTTGTTTTTTTTTTTTTTTTTATTGTATATAAATTACAAGTTGTTATGCTGGGACCCTTCTAATCCTCATTTTTGAATGTATACATTTTAAAGTGTATGTTGGGGCAATAAAAAAATTAATGCAAAAAGGTGATCTTGAGGCTGCTGTATAACGGGGCATAGCTGGAACAGTGGTACAGGGTGTGTCCCCCTGCTTGGACATGTACAGTGCATGAATAAAGTATTCAGACCCCCTTCACTTTTTTCAATTTTGTTATGTTGAAGCCTGATACTACAGTTGTTTAACGAGAAAAAAAAAAAAGAATTTAAACTACTCAGTACCCCATAATGACGAAGTGAAAACAGAATTTTAGAAATGTCATATGATATTTCATTTTATTAAAGAAATATCACAGTTTTCAGGCCCTTTACTCAGTACTTTTGTTAAAGCACCTTTTGGCAGTAATTACAGACTTGAATCCTTTTGGGTATGACATGACCAGCTTTGCACACCTAGATTGGGAGATTTTCTGCCATTCTTCTTTGACGATCCCCATCCAACCTGACTGAGTATGGATGAGGATTTGCAAACGGCCATTTTCAGGTCTCTCCACAGATGTTCAATATGTTTTAGGTCAGGGCTCTGACTGAGCCACTCTAGGACATTGAGTTGTCCCTAGGCCACCTCTGTGTTGTGTTGGCTGTGTGCTTAGGATTGTTGTCCTGTTGGAAGGTGAAACTTCATCCCAGTCTGAGGTCCTAAGCGCTGTGGAACAGATTCATTAATATCTTTGTACTTTGCTCCATTCATGTTTTCCTCAACACTCCGTAGTCTCAGTCCCTGCTGCTGAAAGAAACCCCACAGCATGATGCTGCCACCACCATGCTTCTCTGTTGGGATGGTATTAGCCAGCTAATGAGCGATGCCTGGTTTTCTCCAGACATAAAGTTTAGATTTGAGGCCTAACAGTTAAATATTGGTTTCATCTGACAAGAGAATCTTGTTCCTCAGTCTGAGAGGCCTTCAGGTGCATTTTTGCTTACTCCAGGCACGCTTTCACATACAGTTGTGTTCAAAATAATAGCAGTGTGTTGAAAAAAGTGGAAATAAAAGCTATTAGAAGGATTTTCAGCTTTATTCAGACACACAAATTTATTGGGAACACTACACATTCTATTCCAAATCAAAACATGAAGAACAATATATAAAATTTGTGGTGTTCCCCCTAAAAAAAACTGAAGAAAAGTGAATATTAAACTGAGTTTGTAAAGAAGAATACAAAACACTTTTTTTTTTTTTTTTTTAACAAACATTCACTATATAAACTGAAAAATGTTTGAAGATTTTGCTTTCCTTTGAATCAATTAATATTTAGTTGTATAAGCACTGTTTCTGAGAACTGCTGTACATCTGTGTTGCATGGAGTCAACCAACTTTTGGCACCTGTGAACAGGTATTCCAGCCCAGGGTGATTGGACTACATTCCACAGTTCTTCTCTATTTCTTGGTTTTGCCTCAAACTGCATTTTCGATGTCACCCCAGAAGTTTTCTATTGGATTAGGATCCGGGGATTGGGCTGGCCTTTCCATAACGTCAATCTTGTTGGTCTGGAACCAAGATGGTGCACAATTACTGGTGTGTTTGGGGTCATTGTCTTGTTGGAACACCCATTTCAAGGGCATTTCTCTTCAGAATACTTGAAGAGGTCATGCTGCCTTATGCTGATGTATTCAAACTGATCCATGATCCCTGGTATGCGATAAATAGGCCCAACACCGTAGTATGAGAAACATCCCCATATCATGATGTTTGCGCAACCATGCTTCACTGTCTTCACAGTGTACTGTGGCTTGAATTCAGTGTTTGGGGGTCGTCTGACAAACTGTCTCCGGCCGCTAGACCCAAAAAGAACAATCTTACTTTCATCAGTCCACAAAATGTTGCGCCATTTCTCTTTAGGCCAGTCAATGTGCAAATTGTAACCTCTTCAGCACATGTCTTTTTTTCAACAGTGGGACTTTGCGGGGGTTTCTTGCAGATAGCTTGGCTTCACATAGGCGTCTTCTAATTGTAACAGTACTCACAGGTAACTTTAGACCTTCTTTGACCTTCCTGGAGCTGATTCTTGGCTGAGTCCTTGCCATTTTGGTGGTTATTCTATCCATTTGAATGGTAGTTTTTCGTTTTCTTCCATGTCTTTCAGGTTTTGGTTGCCATTTTAAAGCATTGCGATCATTTTAGCTAAGCAGCCTATCATTTTCTGCACTTTATATGTTTTCCCCCCCTCTCCAATCAACTTTTTAATCAAGATACGCTGTTTTTCTGAACAATGTCTGGAACGACCCATTTTCCTCAGAATTTCAGAGAGAAATGCACTGTAACCAGCATGTACAACATTTGCTGCCTTCCTTCCTTAAATAAGGGCAATAATTGCCACCTGTTTTTCAAAGAATGAATGACCTCACTAATAGAACTTCACACTGCTATTATTTTGAACATGCCCCTTTCAATTAGTGATTCAATTACACAGAATTAGCAGCATGCATGTCATGACTATTGGGTCTGTTGGATTTCTATTACTCTACTACACCTGCTAGTAAATTATTTGCCATGTAGAAATATCATTTCTACCAAAAACAGTGATTGATCAGGTTAGTGATGTCTGACTGCTATTATTTTGAACACAACTGTATATTGCACTGAGGGGAGGCTTCTCTCTAGCCATTCTGCCCTAAAGACCAGATTGGTGAAGGAATGAAGTGATGGTTGTCCTTTTGGAACTTTGTCCCATCTCCACACAGGATCTCTGGAGCCCAGTCCAGCTGGGTTCTTGGTCACCTCTCTTTAGTAAGGTGGTACTCCCCTGATTGCTCTGCTTGACTTGGCAATCAGCTCTTGGAAGAGTGCTGGTTGTGCCAAACTTTTCTTTCCCCCCCCCCCCCCTTTTGCATACACTTGCTTCATTTCTAAAATTCTGTTTTCACTTTGTCATTATGGGTACTGAGTGTAAACCAATTAGAAAAAAATGATTTTAAACTGTAGTATTGAGCTACAACACAAGATTGAAAAAAGTGAAGTGGGTCCTAATACTTCTCTGACTGAACTAGAGAGGATTTGCAAAGAAGAATGGCAGAAAATCTCCCAATCTAGCTGTGCAATGCTTGTCAAGCTGTGGTGGGTTGGTGCTTCCAACATTTTTGTTTTTCTGCTGTCAACATCTGGCAAAGTGTTCCATGTGTGCCTCCACCCTCTGGAGGTGAAGGAGAGAAGGCCTCCTCCTGCATTTCAGTTGTTATTTTTTTTATATCTCTCTCTCTCTATCTTCCAAATCCTCCTTTTGTGTGGGCCTGTGATAGATTTTTTCCTTTTCCAATATTTGCATTTTCAGTTATTTGATAATGTTGATCCAGAAGAAAAAAATGCTCTTGTAAGAGCTTGTTCAATGTTCTCTTGATTTTCAGGTGTCATAAATAAATGAAGGTATTGTGTATTTTTGTGAGGCAGTGGTTTGCAACACTTCTTTCCTTGAAGATGCTGCTGGTCACAAAGAAGCACCTTTCTAATGGGGTATAGCTGGCACTTTACAAAATGACCTTACACATGGTTACAAAGAAGCAATGTTTGAGGGTTTGACAGTTTGAATGCAGGCTAAAATAAGACAATTTCTTTCTTGCCCTTTGATTGACACAGTAATTCAGTTATTTATTTAGGGACTGTCAGAATATACTGCTGGACTACAGGAAGATTACACACTATTTCTTTGCCAGTGTCAAATCTTCCTACTCCCAACATGCCTCAGATTTGTGCCAGTATTCTGGGGCAATGGACTGCTTTTCTCTATTTTGCTATTGCTTTTGCTAGTCCCATTCAATCAAGAATGCTACGGCATCACTGCTGAAATGGTCTTTATTATATCATCTTATCCAGACTGGCCTTTCCTCAGCATAACATTGGAGTGCTGT